TTGCGCAAACGATGATTTTGATTGACTTACACCTATCATTGCTTTAATAGAGGTACAGTCACACTAAAAATCACCTTCCGCTAAGTTTAATGTGCATAACATGTAGTTACATCAATACATTTTCATCTCAGCTCTTTTTAATCTTCCTCCTCCAGCCCTCAATGTTGATAACCGAACATATAGTCCTACAGGTTGCCCGCCTCTCTCCACGGAAAAAGTTTCACTGGAATTTGCTTGCGATGATTTATGGATATCGCCCTATGTGAAAATGGGACATTTGGATCCGAGTGGATTTGAACGTTGAACATCTGTTGCGGGAGGGTTCCCGCCGGAGCTTGATTCAGGGCAAGATCCTTTGTAGAAAAATTGCGGGGGCTTTCTTTGGTTCCTTGTGGCCGTGGGTTGTTTTGTTTGTTAGGACACCACCGCAGGATCCAAAAAGAGTATGTAACCCTCTCATCAAGGCATATATATGTATGTTGGTGCGATATCGCGAATCGAGAGGGGCCAGGGGGACAGATCAAAATGACGGTGGCGTTGTGTTTGTGGGGATGCGTAGTTCTATAGTCAGTCATATAACTACTACCAGGCAATTTCTGGGGTGTTGGCGACGGGGAGGACACCACCAAAACGTGCGTGAAAAGATGGACTTAAAACCAACTGCCAAAGTACCAACTAAGCAGCGGAGTAAACAATGGGCCTCTGATAGACCCGAGTTCCAGCAGCCATGGGGGTTACCAATCAATAGGTGACTGGCTACACTGATGCGTAGTTTACCTGCTTGTTGGGTTGAGTTTGTATCAGTCCACCGCAATTAAACCTCGAATACAGAGTAGTCAGCAGTGCGATTCCAAAGTAGCGCATTGATACTGGCAATGGCACAATGCCAATGAACCGTCATATATATTATCTATTACATGGTTGTATATCTCTATCTGCTCGATCTCCCCCCCCTGCAGTCCGATATACTATGCATTTGGGTTGCCGTGGGTCAAGCAGTACTAGAGGTAATTTATGACCCCTGGCAACGGTTGGACCGCTCTCGGGCAGCCAACGACAGACCGCCGCATGTGAAGGTTTGTGTATCAGTACCGTCATCAATGTATCAATACGTACCGTCCTGCTAGAACCGCCGCGGCATGAATCTACGACGGGGTAATACCCGATACCTGTTAATACCAATACAGCCCCCTCGCGGCCAATCCCATCGCCCGTGTCCCTCCGAGTCCCGTTTGGAAGTCTCTTTTGGCCCTTTTTTCTGCCCGTTTCTCCCGCACTAACCAAAATTCGCTCTTCTCATCCACATTTTCTCGTTCCCAAATCCGAAACCTCGCACCTCAACCTCGTCAATTTCCAACCTCACCCTCGTTCTCTTCCTCTCTTCTCCTCTCGTTCCCTTCCGCCAAGTTCCCCCTCCACTCCTCCACATCACTTCCATCATGTTCAAGAGGTATTCACAGCCCCCGTTCTTATCCAATTGACCTAATTTCTCTCTCCCATGCTAATACTCTACGCTTAGCGGTGTTGCCCGGACCTTCGCCAGGTCTGCCCTGGCGCGACATTCCCTCAGACTTCCACAGAACCCAGCCCTGCGCTCGCTGGCCTCCAGATATGCCAGCACCTCCTCTGGACAAGTTGGAAAGATCCATCAGGTTATCGGTGCTGTTGTTGACGGTAAGTCGTGTGGTGTTCTTGTTTGTTGTTGGGGGAAATTATATGGAGGAAGGGAGGAAAAGTCACACAGAAAATGAAAACTATTTCATCCAAGGACAACCATCACCATCGATATCCATAAAAAAAAAAAAAAAAAAAGCTGGTTTTCCATCGTTTGGCTGGGTCAATGGCTCTGATGTGGGACTGCTGGGATGGATATATGCATGGATATATGCTGTTGGGATTTTTTTTTTTTTTTTTTTTTTTTTTTGGCTGACCAATTGCTTCCTTTCTCTTATGTAGTAAAATTCGACGGTGAACAACTTCCTTCCATTCTCAACGCCTTGGAAACTACCAATGGCAATCAAAAACTCGTCCTTGAGGTAGCGGTACGTGTTATCTTCTCCGCTCTATATACGCCATATCCAATTTTGCTAAATGAATTGATTCCAGCAACATTTGGGAGAAAACGTAGTCCGAACAATTGCTATGGACGGTACACTTCATACTCTCCATTCCCCTCTCACCCATTAGGACTCCATCTAACCAACAATACAGGTACCGAGGGTCTCGTCCGTGGCGCCACTGTTACTGACACTGGCGCCCCCATCATGATCCCCGTTGGCCCAGGCACCCTTGGCCGCATCATGAATGTCACTGGTGACCCGATCGACGAGCGCGGTCCAATCAAGCACTCCAAGAAGGCCCCTATTCACGCTGAGGCTCCTGAATTCGTCGAGCAATCTACCACTGCTGAGGTCCTGGTTACTGGTATCAAGGTCGTCGATCTACTAGCTCCCTACGCCCGTGGTGGAAAGATTGGTCTCTTCGGTGGTGCTGGTGTCGGAAAGACTGTCTTTATTCAGGAACTGATTGTATGTTTCTTCTCGTTTATATATAACATACCTTCTATATTTCATGTGTTTCTAACGAACTCATAGAACAACATTGCCAAGGCTCACGGTGGTTACTCCGTGTTCACCGGTGTCGGTGAGCGTACCCGTGAAGGAAACGATCTGTACCACGAAATGCAGGAAACCCGCGTCATCCAGCTGGACGGCGAGTCCAAAGTCGCCCTCGTCTTCGGCCAGATGAACGAGCCCCCCGGAGCCCGTGCCCGTGTTGCCCTGACCGGTCTGACCATCGCTGAATACTTCCGTGACGAAGAAGGCCAAGATGGTACGTTCCCCCATTCCATATATGTTTCTTGTGCGCTTTGCCAACTAAACACCACCTAGTGCTCCTCTTCATCGACAATATCTTCCGCTTCACCCAAGCCGGTTCCGAAGTGTCCGCCCTGCTAGGCCGCATCCCCTCCGCCGTCGGCTATCAACCCACCCTCGCCGTCGACATGGGTGGTATGCAAGAGCGCATCACAACTACAACAAAAGGCTCCATCACCTCCGTGCAAGCCGTCTACGTTCCCGCAGACGATCTGACAGATCCCGCCCCCGCCACCACCTTCGCCCATCTGGACGCCACAACCGTCTTGTCCCGCGGCATCTCCGAGCTGGGCATCTACCCGGCCGTCGACCCGCTGGACAGCAAGTCGCGCATGTTGGATCCGCGTATCGTGGGCGAGGAGCATTACGAGGTCGCGACGCGCGTACAGCAGATGTTGCAGGAGTATAAGTCTCTGCAGGACATTATTGCCATTCTGGGTATGGATGAGTTGTCTGAGGCGGATAAATTGACTGTTGAGCGGGCGCGGAAGTTGCAGCGGTTCCTGTCGCAACCATTTACTGTTGCGCAGGTTTTCACGGGCATTGAGGGGAAATTGGTGGATTTGAAGGATACGATTCGTAGCTTTAAGGCGATTATGAATGGGGAGGGTGATGATTTGCCCGAAGGTATGTATTGAGTTTTGGGTTCTTATTCCCATTTGCCCTTTTTTGAACTAAGTTCCGCGCCCCCCCTGATTTGTCATCCTGTTTTTTGGGTTGATTGGTTGCTAACCTGATTTTGCTGTGATATAGCTGCATTCTACATGGTTGGTGACTTCGAGTCCGCCCGCGCGAAGGGAGAGAAGATCTTGGCTGAGTTGGAGAAGTCGTAATTTCATACTCTGTACACTTGTTACATGTAGCTGATGGGATGTAAAGAATTTTTTTTTAATTTTTTTTTTCATCTGTTTTTGTTTTTAAACCTCTTGTAGATTAAGAAAAGAAAGAGAAAGAGAAAGATAAAACAAAAATCTGGATTTTAACTGACCATCCCAACCATCTGTCTATTTTCTGCGGGAGAAAGGAGGAGGTTGGGTGAATTTACCATCCATTTTCCTTGCTTCCATTGTTCTGTCCTCTCTCACTCTCTCTCTCTCTCTCTTTCTTCTCTTTCTCTCCTTTTTTTTTCGTTTTTGTTGCAGTTTTTCCCCGCCTGAAGCTGCTAGAATCTCGCTTCGTGATCACTTCGTCTCTCCCTGGACGTGACTGTATTATCCTGTGTCATATTTTCCATCCCGCATCATTTCCCTATGTACAGTACGGAACACGTGTATTATTTTGATTCCCCTCCCTTTGGGATATTAACCAACCGTTATAAAATTTGATGTTTTTTTTTTTTTTTTTTTTTTAAAGAGGGCATTACTCTGGATATTTCTATTTCTATTTCTATTTCTATTTCTATTTTTATTTTAATTGATTGATTTGATTTGTTTTATATGCGGCATCTGATTCGACGCCCGCTGTCTGTAAGTCGCCTTAGCTGCTCGCGTTTGGCTGCCTGGTTGGTGCCTGATGATATATACAGGACAACTAAAATAGTTGCGCGACCACGAAACTCCTGCAGTATATATACATTTAAATCTTCCATTCAACTTGGAGCTCATCTTCGACACTTAGTTCAGGCGAGGTGAAATTGTCTCCTTGCCTCGTTTTGTTCTTGTTGTTGTCCTTCTTCTTGTTCCCACCAGCAGAGTTCCTTCATATATCTAGACATTCTATTCATCATCATTGGGCATTCAGGGGCTGAATATATTGATCATCGTTAGACGTCGCAGGGCAACAATTCTATCCCTCCCCCCCCCCTCCCCCCTCTGTTATTGTAAAAGAAACTGCTATCTTTTTCTAATCAGTTATTTATGATATTTCCACTCGAAATAGATCAAATAACATTTCTATCCATTGTTATATCCAGAAACATCCTGTTGCCCCACGATTCCCCATCCCCTCGCAAGGCGGTAGACTAACTAGAACATATTAATCCTGCTAACTGCATATCTCCTCGCCGCCACGAACCAGCAGAGTCCAGTCCCATCCCTGGCCCGCCCAACCGACCCACCGCGCCTATGTCCCCGTTAACCCTAACCTCCCTCCCCCCAGAACTCCTCCTCCAAATCGCCTCGCAGCTCCCCGACTGTGCCTCGCTCAACTCCTTCCTCCGAACAAACCGCTACACCCATGCCCTCCTCCACTCCACCCTCTACACGCAGAACATCAGGCACGACAACTCCTCCGCCCTCGTCTGGGCTGCTACCTGCAACTGCATCGCGACCGCCAAACATCTCATAAATTATGGCGCGGACATCCACGCCAAATCCGGGCGCGTGCCGACACGATCAGGCAAATCTGGCGTGCAGACACCGTTCACGATTGCGGCGCGGGCTGGGCATATGGAGATGCTGAGGTTGTTGATTTCGAGTAATGGGGGCGTTATTCCAGGCATGCGTCACGAGCGGGAGAACAAGCGGGAGAACGAGCGGGCAGGTGAGCGTTCTAAGTCTAGCTTGTATGTTAATAGGCCGCTGTTAGCGATGGCGGCGGAAGAAGGGCAGGTGGAGGTTGTGAAGATGTTGCTTGAGGAATTCAACGTGGTCAATATAGATTCAACGGATTGGATGAGGCGGACGGCATTGTCTAGGGTGGCAATTACTACTGCTTCGAAGCATGGATATATCCTTGCGTCATACATCGACATGGAAGTGCAGCAAAGGGCGAGGGAATTCGAGGAGAGGCTGGAAGCTGTCATGAGACTGCTGTTGAAGCATGGAGCGAATCCAAGTCATGTAGATAAGGATGGCCGCATGCCGCTGGCGGTCGTGGCGGAAAAAAGGGGATCTGTAGCTATTGCGCGGCTGTTGTTGGAGTATGGGGCCGATCCGAATCAGGGAAGTTTTGAAGGGACGCCGTTGATGCTTGCCGCTCGGTCGGGGTGTATCGATGTGGTTCGCCTCCTGCTTGAATACAGCGATGCTGGGTGTGGTGTGGTGGATCTTGAGGCGCGAGATCGTACCGGCGTCACGGCGATAGGCTATGCTGTCCGAGCTGGGCAGGGAGACATCGCCCGCCTACTTCTAGATCGCGGCGTGGATCCAGACTCCGTCGACGACAATGGGTATACGCCCATATTCTGGGCGGTGGAGGCTCGTCATGAGGAGATTGTGCGCCTTCTGCTCTCCCAGTCTCGTCCAGTCGATGTGAACCGCCTACAGGGGCCGGATCGCTATTGGACGGTGTTCACCAAGGCGATGGATTCGACCGAGCCGATTTTATGGTTATTACTGTCGCTCGGAAAGCATGTGGACATCAACTCGTGCACATCGGATGGAATGCCCGCCCTGGTAGTGGCGGCAGTGGAGTCTCAGAAGGGTGCAGCCCTCGTCCGGGTACTCCTTGGGCAGAAGGGAATCATACCTGATCAACGGGACCGGGATGGGATGACAGCGCTCGCACATGCGGTGCGCATGGGCAAGTATGAGGTTGCCCAACTGCTTCTCAAGTCTGCGGACGTGGATGTTAATTCCAGAGATTATCATGGAAGATCGCCGGTGTGTCACATCTACCCTTCAGATTCAACTATGGATATGCTCCATTTGTTGGTGAAGCATGGTGCTGATGTTGACGCCAGCGAGTATGGAGAAGGTCAAACGCTGTTCGAGCGCGCTTGGAGGAAAGAGGCACTAGAGGTGATGGACTTTCTCTTTAAAGCCGGGGCGGATCCGAAGTTGGCATATAACAGGACCGGAACTCATTCTAATAGCGAGCTTCATCTATGTCACGATGCTCTATTTCAGTTGGCTATGCGTAATGGTCATGCCAGCTTATTGAAACATATCCTCGCCATGGACTTGGACGACGATGAAATTGATCCAACAAACACTATGGACGAATTGGGCAGGACGCCGCTATGCTATGCTGCCCTGCATGGCTTTAAAGATCTTGTCAAGGTGCTGCTTGCACACCGCAGCGCTGGGAGGGGTCGGAGCAAGAACATCCAACAGGCTTCACTCCCTTTTGCACTGACTCTGGCGGCAATGAACGGACATGATAAGATCGTTCTACAACTGCTAGATGCAGGCGCCCATGGCCCCAAGTCTCACTCTGATCGGGGGTTCATGCGTCTGCTGAAGTCGATGGACGGCGGATATCAGGAGGTGATGAAGATGTACATGCGCTTGCACTCACGCTCTAGAAAGGGCGGCAATCCTTCCTCTTGCTACCCCCCGTGGTTGCCATTATTTTTCGCCACTGTATACGGGCATCAGGAAGTTGTGAAGACGCTTATTGCAAGCCAGCCTGGCATGAGGCTACGGACGGAAATGGATGCTAAGGAAGTGGAGATGGAGATGGAGGATGAATTGGAAGTGGAAGTGGAGGAGGAGGGGGTGGAGGAGTGGAGGGAGGAGGAGGAAGAGGGGGAGGAGGAAGAGGGGGAGGAGGAAGAGGAAGAGGAAGAGGAGGAGGAGGAGGAGGAGGAAGAAGTCAGTAGAGTCATTGATATGACACCTTTGTGGCTAGCAGAGGAGTATGTATGGGCAACAGGCGGGGCAGTGTCTTCATCTGAGTTTGTGAGATATCAACCGGCGAGCACTCCATTCTCGGTGCGGTAGTGAGATTGGTTGGACATGAGCGTTCCTTTTTGAGATGAGGGGCAATAGACGGAGGGATTAAAATAAAATAAAAAATCACATAAAATAATTAAATATCAAGTAAAAACAAGATAAGAAGAAATTCTCTCGTGATATTTCCTCAGCTATTTTTCTACATTAGCAACGCAAGACAATAAATACAGTAAACGATAGGGAGCAGTGGCTGGCTGCCAGGTTGCCCACGACGGAGCTTTTAAACTAATATTTAGAAGCCAAACCCGCATGAAAAAGGAAAACAGATGGCCGGAGCATACGAGAAAAATGAAAAGACACCCTGAGAGGTAGTTAGTTAGTTATGATGCCATACCCCGAGAGGGTCCGCTGTACTTTTTTCTTTCTGATATTTGTTTTCTGACAATTTAACCGACGAAGTAAATCCACGGTTCAGCACCTTCAACATCCGAAAGATAACCGGAATCAGACCAGAATCATCCTCCATACTCTGATCTACCTATTTCCACCTCTGATCAAATCTCAGCAGCTATGGCGGCCTCACTTCAGTCAAAACACCAAGAATAGCGGATAGAGTTACTTTACGTGTGGCAGAAGATGGCTTCTGCTGTTGAGCTTCTCAGAAAAACAAACCCCAATTTAGCAGATAACCACAGCAACACTCCTCTGCAAATTGCTGTGCGCCTTGCCTATGATGGGATCCTGCTTTTTGCAGATTGTATGAAAGGAGGGACATGTTATGTAGTTAACTATTAGTTAAACTGAAGATACCTACAACGGCCCAATCGCATTTACATAAGCTCGAATGGAAAGGGGGTTTTTTGTCCATCCTTATTCACTTCCACACCTCTGCAAGCTCTTCAACTTCACATTCTCTGTCATCAACCTAAAAGCGTATTGTTGCCTTCGCCCTATGAATACCCTTCACCCTTTTCATAGGACAAAGGCCCAGAACTGCTGATACTGGTTATAGCACTTGTAACGCATGAACGTGTGAAAGGATATGCTCTTCCACCCTAATCTTCCCGCCCGGCACGGTGTGAGGAAAGCAATGTCCGTTTGTTGGAGAGTGGTTAGGGAATCTGCTGCACTCTGAAACTTCATCGTGAATTCGAAGGTCTATCTTCTGTATCTTCCGGAGTTAATCGGACAGGTGCCCTTCGAAGAATAGAATCGAAGAAATAGAATCGAAATGCAATGACACTAGCTGGGAGAGATTTCGTCCCAGTGCGGGGGGATGGGATGCAGTTTGGCAAGCGCCTCTCGAATGCGACGCAGCCGTTGTCCCATTCCATAATCCATAATGTTATTTACAAGATCCCTACACGGTTGAATATCTAAGGCCTCCATTAGCGAAATTGCCTTGATCTTTGACATGATATAGCGCGCTTTGATATTAGAGTACCAGACAATATAAAACACGGCCATTCGTGACGAGACAGCTCCGACGAAAGCGACAGCATCCGTAGTCGCCGGTTCCTGGAGGGGAAAGCCTGCTTTAGAAACCAACGCTGAGATGCTACGCTGTGGGTACCGCTCCCCGCGCATTGGTTCTCGGCACAATATAGCGTGCCTCCAGTAGCTTCTGCCTTGAATTCAAGAGCCAGAAACGGAAGTATATTCTCTCTAGTTGGTTGTGTGTAAGGCTGCGCCGTCCGGTGGCAGATCACATTCATCTCCTCGTCCTTCCAGCAAATCTCGCTTTCATGAGCATAGCCACAATGCCGGTCAGGTTTTGGTGCAGCGAGATGGTATAGATATTCGGGGTTCATTGGTAAGGGCTCCGTTGTCCACAGAAGGTTGGCCCCTTCAATGACGCCAAGACGCCTCACAGGGAACGCTCTGGTGTGTATGATGTTCATTAATTTTCCTTCACCATAGTTCATAAGATCTCCTGCTACCATCACCACCTCGTTCGTTTCTTCATCCGACAGGGGCGGAGATCCTTCTCGCGGCTTGAGAACATATGTATTTAGCAGCTCCTTAATATCTGGTTCTTCTGCTATTGCTCTCCCAGTTAAATCCAAGGTAATGCCATTCCGTTGAACTGCTACACGGTACAAAGGATCCGATATGCTCAGCTTTGTGTGTGAAGAGGAAGCGACAGAATCACGTTTCATTAAATCCTGTTGCGACATGTCGAGTTCCAGCTCACAAGAAGGTAGTCTGAAGTCGAATTGGTCTAGGACCGGTGCAGAGAGCTTCTCGGTGCTCAAAAAGGGTAGTGCTGTATTCGGACGGAGAATGATTTCCGGGATAGGAACATTCAACATCCAACGAAACACCGAGGATGACTGTACCTGACAGCGTTCCTCCACCCGTAGATCTGAGTTGTCGTGCTCAAAACGTTGTTTGAGCATTGTTGGTTGACGCGGCTTCGTGGGCTGCCAGGCTGCTTAGCGACGACAGCCTCACAGGCTGTGGGCAATGCACGCCTTCAGCGGCCATCGTGAAAGATAAGTGAAAAGAGATCAACAAATATAACTCCTATGGAATCCAGTGAACGCGGCCAGAGAGGAGGTTCAATGCTCTCGTCATTGACTACCTACGGCGGCAGGACAGATGAACTGACTCGCGTTGAGTCTACTCTCTGACGATTGAAGTGCCCGACCCACAAGTCCAGCTGGATTGGGTTTGCCATACTGATATTTTCTCTTTTCAGGTTGTATGAGCGCAAAACGAGGATTCACTACGGGCATAAAAACGAGAGATTACATCATAGTTCAAAATTGCCCTTGATTATGTAGCTAAGCTCTGACAGAGGGCGCATGCTGTAACTAGTTAGTCTAACAGAGGCAAAACACTTCAAATTCAATTTCCGCTGGTGACAGACATGGAAATCACCATAATACCACCGACCAACCTAGTCCAGATAATGCAAAAGTAAGTAAATAAATAAAGTAAACCAAAAGGTTTGATATAAACATTCAGCAATGAGAACAGTCTTGGGGTGCTGGGTTATGTGGGTTTGCACGAGATCGAATGCGGTTCCCCATATTCATCAGGGTCATTGTAAACGTCGCGTTCCGGATTCCCTTCACCATTGAGTATTAACGATGCAAATTTCAATCCATGCGTCCAAATGTACATAGAATTGATAAATTCCTTCCTAATTTATTTCCATGCGATATCATGAGCGCCCCATTTCCTAGGATCCTCTGAACGAATGGCGGTCCCCCGACGTCTGATATATCTGCACTCCGGCCCCGCTTGACGATGGTTAGAGTTTCCCTTAACCGTTCGTTATCAGCAAGAAGTCCTTCGTTCTCTGTAGTCCCAAATTTCTCTAGTGGTTCAGGACATGGGGCCGTTTGGCCAAAGCGCTCGCGGCGAGAAGGGTCTAACACGGATCCTGGAACTCCGGGACATGTTGAGCGGTAAATGACAACCGAAGCTCCCGAGTCTAGCCCATCTCGCAGTAGCAGAGATTCATGCCAGGCCATAGGCTGAGATTTACGTTGAAACCAAACTTCATCTGAAAGCGCATGGGGGGGGGGCAATGGAACAAATGAAAAAATTGACGACATAGGCGTGATGAACCGGAGCGTTTTCCAGCCGTGTCCTTCCGATAGGAACGTTTCAAGAGTAAAGTACGCAAATTCCGGTTCGGCATCCGCTATGATGGTAAGAGTGTCCAGACGGAGCCTGGGCAAAAGCTTGAGAATCATCGGAACCTCGTAGCGGACCGCCTCATCATTATAACCGCTGCGGTGAGGCGGCAACATCGCGACTGGTCTTGCCCGTGTTCTAACAAATCGGATCTGCGTAAGGGTTGATTCAGGGAGAGTAGAGAACTTGTCCATCAAGTCTTCTACATGTCCAAAGTTAAAAATGACATGTCTAAGCCAGAGGGACTTTGTTTCACTGTGGATCCGGCGACACGAACGTAGAATAGCCAGAGAATTGACTGCAGGTATTACAAATCGGTAATTCCGCGATAGCTCGCCAAAAGTAATTCTAGTTGAGGTGAAAAGAGTGATATAGATCTGATCCCTTATGTCTCGCGGGAACCGGAAAAATGGGCTGGCAGACTGAGGTCAATTTCTTGGACTTGAAAATTGGGAGAACAGCTCATGACGGCTGGAAGTTAATTGTCAAACAGATTGGCTATATCTCTCGACACACGCGGAGCATATGATCAGTTATGCAGAGTATGCCTCACACATATGACTTCATATTCACTTTCTCTTTCCGTAGGAGCAGCTTGAAGGATAGCCCCACCATTTGCTGTTATCAATTTTGCTTTGGTCACGTTATATATTTATCACGTGTTAACCATATGTGCAAGTTCGTCTCCCAAACGAAGACCGAATGGAACTGAGCCTGCTGAGAACTTCTGTCCTTGCAATTCGAATAGAATCCCTTGTAGGTTCATGAGTCTTACAACCTATAGATCTTAGGTACATAGACTTAGGACATGTCAGCAATCTCCTCCTTCCAAGCAGAGTAATGCAAGACCATTATTGATTGGCCAGCTGCATGCAAAGCTTGCCCGTCGTATATCCATGAAATCACAGGTTTCCCTTCAAGTAGCCAGGGGGAAGACGAGTGCGGCATGTCTTTGTAGGATAGCTTCATACAGAACCTCTCGACGATCCCAGCCCACGTTGGTGTTCCCATCCTTGATGGACAATTCTAGCAACCAGGCGAGCCGCGGCCGGGGAAAACTCGGTGTTACGACAAGATCGAGGGGGAGGACGGCCTGAAGCACAGGCCAAATGGAGGTGTCAGTGACTCACAGGCGAACGCACCGATATGGTAAATTGATCGAGCCATGTCAATACGCTGGGTTATTTTTTATATTTTCTTTCAGGGTTGATTGTCCAAGAAGTATGTGCCCAGCTGAAGAGATGTCAACCTTGATCAACTTGGGGAGTCTATGTCCTGCGAATTCAGGCTTCAAACGCCTACAACACTATCTCGCACCATGGCTTTCAATACAACAAACATCAGCCACCCATTAGAGTGGAGATGATGAAAGGAGCTCCAGAGGCTATCCAGGTGCTCTTAGATAAATTCGATTTCGCTGACATCTGTGACGGCGCGTCGGCATGCTTCCATTCAACCTGAAGGTGGTGTATCCTTGTTCGGATATATTCCCGGAAACCCAACTTATATATTGACGGGTCAATGTGATCGACAGCTGTGATTGTCACAATATTTTTTGTTTTTGTTTTTTTTAGACGGCTCCATTGCTCCTGTGACATAACACGACCCGGAATTGTTTGAGAAGCTGCAGTTCCTTCAAGATGCTGCGTCGAAGTGCCATGTACTTGGAAAATCAGTGCCCTCATGGGGTGAGGAAGTATCTCGACCGATGCTAAGCCTGGTTGTTGAACTGGAGAATCGAGACTATGTCCAAATAGTTTTCGTTAAGAATGTGTACGTCTTTCTATTTTTTTTTTTTTTTTCAGGTCAGCGCAGGTGGCAGTCAACTCAGTTAGACAGGATCGCATTAACGAGCCACAGTCTGAAATTTATTTCGGAACATAGGTCTGCTTATTCAGACATTCCCTCGGTCTCTAGTGGACCTGCAGGCCTCCAGAATCTATCATTCACGTCTAAAAGAGTAGACTATGGTATCTACCATTCTCGAACAGATACTCAGAAATCTCACACCCGTAACATACTCACAATGCGTATTATCGATATGGATGATCATCGCACCAATTAAACCGGGTCATCTGACTATATCAAGTGGCTTCCCCAGCTGATAGTGTTGAGTGCAAAAAGACTCTACCTGGGACAGATGGCATGGTGCAACTGCGTATCTGGATGGCCACTTTACGCAGAGGCCGGGAGCCCATTTGAAACCAATGCCGTGTTTGGAAGTTGAAGGCCTCGATTGGAATTTGTATTGGTGTTGTGTTGGAGATAAAGGAGAGACTGTAATCCCGCTTCAATTTGACTTGCGATGAATGATATCCATTGATTTGGTTTTTCTGCAGGTGCTGTTCGGACCCCAAACACCTCGGCTCAGCAAGGGCATCTATTTGGTTTTGAAGGCATTGTGGGAGACGGTTAAATACAGTCGGGATGATTATTGGCCGTGGTTTAAGGAAATGATTCAATGGGAAAATTAGAATTTTGCTATAATCATCAACGGCTTCCTGATAAAGATGATTTTGTCGTCTTGATGTGGTATATAGAATCAATCATGGACTAGAGTGGAAGAGAAATGAGGTCAGGTATTCTTGCAGGTTCGGGATACGGGGAACTATATGTATCACGTGATTTGAGCCATCTCTCGGGCCGACGTATCCCCAGCCACGATTGGGAGCCGTCTTCAATTATCTGGGATAAACTCTTGCGGAATTCTTGTTATTGTGCAAGTCACTGGAGAGGATGTGCATCTTGTCGTATGCAAGCTTCCGTCATTGCTGCCTCCTGTATCAGATTGGCTGATATGAAGAGAGTGCCCTCATATGCGATGTTCCCTTAAGTTACATATTCCAGCTGCCGTTAAGTAGAAGAAGGCACTTCTATGTTGACTTACTCGCCCGTACATGAAGTAATGGCAGGGGATAGCGAGAATGCATAAAGGGAACAGAATGCATGGGTTCTGATGAACATTAACTTTGCATCAAATGGTCTGAGCAATATTTGAGGTTTGAGTAACTAATCGCTTAGTCTCATCTAGTTAACTAGTTAACTACCCACAACAGGTATTTAGCTCAGAAATATAACCCCTTTCTACATCAACACCCGCCCCACTGCCAAACCTGCTATCATAAACCTGTCTGGAACTCTGATGCTTGTGCATTTGAACAGCTATAATATGGGAACCGTGGCAGCAACTGACGGAAATTTATGCCATCATTAGAACCTCGCTGGAGGCAATGCTCTCTGACATAGCCCTGTTGTCACTCTCTGTGTCGTGGTCAAACAAAACAAAAAGAAGAAGAATTTAATGAACTGAGGATTCATTTTATTATAAATGAGAAAACAGCTTGACAGCTCAAATTCAATTATCATGTCATTGTCCTAGTTAATCATTATTCATATCCCTGGCTATTTTCTTGACATATGCCCGATATCCATCTAACTACCAGTGACTATAGGTAATAAGGAGCTCAATTGTCCATTTGTCATCCATTCAAAAATTTCAAACAACATTGCATCATTATGTCCTGAGTTTTATTGACACAGGCTTTGTTTTCTCAGCAGCCAATCTCTCATTTTAAGTTCTGACGCGCATCATAAGATGTTTCAGAACTTTCAGCAACAGTTGTTGCAACACACTTGGTTTGGGCAATGCACTCCAAAGATGGTAAATTTGGTCCATTCATCTGCTGAGGCGTTCTTGCATCAGACTTGATATTTTCAATCCACCATTTCTGAGATGGCAAGGGAAGCTGTCCAGGGGAAAAAAAGCATGTTGACTTAAAGGCTCATATATCACTCGGTTTACCAACAATAGTTTCCTAGCCACTTTGGCCTAAGGTAGAACAAGACTTCCCTCATTCACAAAATGAGAGAGAACCTTCCCCTTAATATAGTCAAGGTTATCATCAGTCGTGGGGCATAGAAATCTATCAGTTGAATGATGTTGACTGTGACAAGTCAGCTAATGCAGTGGACAGGAACAATACTGATAAACTCACATGTCTCAATACTTCTAGAATTTGTTTTACATTTTTCCAGGAATGGACAACTGATCAGATTTTCGGCCTTCGACATGCCACAGCAGCAACTGCCTGGCCACGAAGTTTGACTTTGAAGACTTGATTGGAAGGGGTATCTCCAGAAAGAATTCCTCCCAGAAAGGCGTGATGAGACTTTTTGCTTATCACTGTTGCTGATATCTGTCTTGCACACACTCTCTTTTCATTTTGTTGACTTCTTTAATATCTTTCTTGGACACCAGACACAAAGGGACTGATATTTGTTCATATAATTAGTTACATCAAGCCCTGCAGTTGCATTGTAAAAATGCTACGCTGATATCGTGACGTAAGGAAGTCAAGTCTAACTCCAAGTGTGAGACACCATGTGCTACAGCTAAGCACAAGCTACTGAGAATGAGAGATGACGCTCTTGGAATATAGCTTCAGAGCCAGATTCTTAACTTGTAAATTTCGAGGTTGAGGGATTGTATCTAATGACAGAGTCTTCGACTTGGTCCGGAATGATTGAACAATTCAGGCTGTTTACCCAGCACTCATCTTCATCATCTGTTTGCAGGAGAACACAGCATTCAGATCCACTTCTCAAAGAATACCGACAGACATGCCGTTCTTCTCAGAGTAGGAACGCTGGCTTGGTTGACTGCTCCATATATTCAATGATCCCTAATGGGAGACAGATGTCGAATGGTACTCTGCCCACCTTGTCTCTATTCTCATCCCGTGGAGATATGGAATCTAAAGGGCAGGTATATACAGATGCTGCTTTAATCACGGTCATATGAAGAAGACAGGCCGGGTTGCAGAGGGGTGGAGGGACATAGGTTGACCAGTATCTCCTCTTGTATCCCACTTCCACTTTCACTGTCACCGGAGGCTCTAACGGCTCTGAAACGGCTCATGTTAACTGAACTGATTCTGGCAATTTAAGACAGATTTTTGGACTGCAGAACAAAGCAAGCCTCTCGCTTTTGAGATAATGAATGAGGTTTCAAAGAGGAGCAAAGCTGCCAAGTTGCCAACTATCATCCACATATTAGTAGTAATGACACCTTGCAAACCATTTTGAAATAAAAACAATAGATACTTGATCTTATATTCAAAAATAAAAACATCTACTCATCTGCTCTTGATGTGTAACTTTGATTTTAAACTTTAAATGATTCTGCAGAAAATATAAATCTAGAAGTGAAGTAAATCAAAAGAAATATTATAATAATATCTTTATTATAATAAAATTTTTTTAATAATTATTGATATATATTTTTTTATTATTCTGTTTTAAATATATTTTCATTCTCTGATTGATTAAAGATAAATTATATTTATATATTTTCTTTGATATATAATTATAACTATATTAGATTGTATAAATAAGTTATAACTATTTTTTTCTCTATTTTAAAATTTAATATATTATTTTTTATATTTTAAATATTTATTAAATTAAATAAATAAATTTCTTTTTATAATTTCTTTTTATATTTTAAAAATTTGAGAAATTGATAATTGAAATTTATTAAAAATTATTTAAAAGATAAAGTTATTATAACTTTGTTTAAAGTTAAAATAATAAAATAAAACTTCAATTTATCTATCTAACTAGATAGTTTTAAATAATAATAGTAAAATGAAGAATTAAAATATAAAATAAAAAATCAATAATTAAATAAATTAATAATTAAAATAAATTAGTTTTTAAAGTAAAATAAATTAATTTTAATTTATATTATAAGTAACTATTTTATTAGAAAAAACTAAATGTATATAAATTTATATAAATTATAAAATAATATAAAAATACTTCAACAAATTGTTAAAAAAAAATATAAAAAATAATATAATTACTAATATCAAAAATTAAAAAAAATTAAAATTTAGAATACTTAAAAGTTAAATAATAATAATAATTAAAAAAGTATTTTTTAAAATATTAATATTAAATTATTTAAATTTATATTAAAAAATGAAACAATCTTAACAATTAATATTATATTATTAAATTTAAAAATAATATATATAAAATATATTAATTAAAATATTATAAATTTTAATATTTTAAAAATTAAATTATAAATATAAAAAATTAACTAAAACTAAAAAATTAAAAAAATTAAAATTAATAAGTATTAAAATAAAATATTTTTAAAGTTTTTAACTATATTTATTATAAAATTATATATTATTAATATTTTTTAAATAAAATATAAAGTATTTATAGATATTTTTCTTTTAAAATTTATAAAATTTAAAAAATATATTTTTATAAACAAATATTATTATAATAGAATAAAGTATAAATAATTTAATTTTCTAAAAAAAATTAAAATAGTAATTATTATTAATTTTATCAAAATAATTATTAAATCTAATTATATAATTATTTTATATAAAAAATATATTTTAAATTAAAAGAAAATTTTTATATAATTTTTCTTCTTAATAAAATAAAAATATTATTTAATTCATTGAAAAAAAATTATAAAAATTATTTTAATAAAGTTTTATATAAAAAATACTATATTTTCTAAATTTTATAAAGTTATATTTTTACTAAACTATCTAAGTAAAATTTTAAAAAAATTATTAACTTTAGATTTTCTTTTCTAACTACTACTACTACTATTAATTAACTAAATAATAATTAAATAAAAAATAAAAAATAAAATTTAATTAATAATTTATAATAATCAATTAATTATAAATAATAACTTAATATTAAATATTATTTTTATTAATATTAAAAAATTTTTAATTATTTTTAAAGAAATACATAATCTTAATTCTATAAAATTTAAAGTTATTAAAATTTATAATAAAAAATTATATTTATTTTTATTTAATATATTATAATAAAAATATTAATATTAAAATAAAATTTTCTAAATTTATTAATTATAGTGATTAAATTATTAGTTGTAAATTCATATAAAAAAATTAAAAAAATATAAAAAAATTATATAAA